CCTTCAGGACTCGCCCTTGGCCAAGGAGAGCTGGGACAGCCCACGTCCAGTGACTGGTCGATGTTGGCCTTCATGCCTCAGCTCTGGACAATTCCAAAGGTGATCCGGCCACAGAGCTCCAGCGGTCTGGCTGGACAGTCTCTTGCCGTTGCGACAGCTTTTCTACCCAGCTGTTGTTCCAGAAAGCACTTCCCCTGGACCTCACACCTCCTCACCCAGCGATTTGCTGGGGAACCCAACCCAGTAGGCCACGTGTATCGGCTGGTACGTGCATAGGGAAAAGCCACTTCATGCCTTAAGTGTGCTGTGTTGAGAGGAGGCAGCGTCTCAAACTTCCCCTTAACTCTATTCTCGAGTGGGGAGGGACAAACTGGCCTGAGCCCCACTGCCCCCTCCACCCCACGGGAACTTGTGTTCTGACTTTGAAGTGCACCTCTTTGGCCCTCGTCACCTCTGTGGTGAAGGTGTGGGGGTGGCTCATTTTACAGGTCTCTCCCACCTCTCGTACCCGATGGCTGTCTTCTTTCGAAAAAGTGTCTCTCCAGGAAGAGGCAGCGGGGTCCAGCAGCAGTTGCATTTGGTGAAAATTTCCATCTGAGCAAAGGATTCGGAATGTGACCCCACATCCTGACCTCCCTCGCTTCTCCCCGCACGGCTCTCCTCCTTCTGCACACGCCACCTGTCCTCTATTCCTCTCTGACTCATCTCAGCCACCAGCCAGAGAGTAGGTCCAGAAAGCCTCAGTCATTTCTTTGAGCTCAGCTGCTGCTTATGCTTCCAGCTGAAATTCCATCTGGAGCTAATGTTTTAGGCCAGCTCCTCCTGTGAGAGCTGTCTTTTTTCCGTTGCACCTCTCAGCCCTGCACCCCGGGGGGTGAGGGGTGGGGGTTGGGCCGAGCTGGCCACTGAGGACAAAATTGTCTTTTTCTTCTTCCAGTCAGAGCCCTTTGCAAGCAGCGTCCCCTTGGTCGCCCTCCCCGTGCCGCTGCCCGAGGCGCCCAGGCCAGCTAGGTGACCCAGCCTCCCTGCACGGCACTCCCAGGCCGGGCCAGCCCGCCACCCGGCCAGGAAGCTGTCACCTCTCTGTCGACGAGTGCTTTTCAGCTTAGGACGCATGGCTTCCTTCCACCCCAAACCTGCATTTCCCCCCGCCCCCCTTTGCCGACCAAAGAAGCTCTTTTCTAAATCCATCCTAGATTCTCTAGGGAGGTCGCAGGCCCCTGTGACAGTTGGCATGATCCTGTCTTGGTGAGGGAGTGATTAGTTAGCAGTTTGTCACCTCTCCCCACAACCAACACTTTGTGCCTGTGTCTTAGTCATTTTTACATGTCCCTTGAGTGAGTACCCCTCCGTGGTTTGCCATATCTACTTTGTCCCACACCGCCCAAAGCTTCCCCGGGGGGGGGGGGTCCGAGTGACGAGGACTGACGGGCCCACTACAGGTGAGAGGGTCTCCGCCTGCAGACACCTTTTCCTCTGTATTTCCTCCCAAATGTTTTAAA